CCCCTCTCTCCCTCCCTCCCTCCCTCCCTCCCTCCCTCTGAAGCCATCTCTGCTCCTCCTCTCTCTCCGAAGCCATCTCTCTCTAAGGTAATATCTAATCTATGTACTGAATATATACACATAGATCTATGTGTATATATATACACAGAGATCTGTGTATGTGTGCGTTTGTGTGTGTACGTGTGAGTTTGTGTGTCTGTGTGTGTGTATGTGTGCGTCTGTGTGTCTCTGTGTGTGTGTTAGTTCTATCCATGTGGGACTAGACACTTTCGATTTTGGTTGAATGTAAGGAATGTGTTTAATCCATGTTACCAAAGACTAATTTTTATTTTGCCTTGCAACAACACTGGTAAATTGAAGTTGAAATTCATGTAGAACTTGACACTCTCTAATCCCCCTTGGGAAGGTGTGAATTCCATGTTCATCAAAGCCATTTTTCAAATTGTCTGGTTTGTGTTGTTCAACACTCCGAATATGGCTCATTTTTTCTTTGGGATTGAAATGTGGCTTGCTATCAAGAACAAATTGAGTATAAAGACAGAATTTTGGCCTATAGTATTCAATGGGAAGTGATTGTTATCTCTGTAGATCTGATGCTGAGATCCATAACCACTAGTTTTTTCAGTGTTCATAATTAGAATTTGGGAATTATATGCATAGAAAGATTGATATTCAAATGCAAAGTAGACCCTGGGAGTACTTGGTTGATTGGGCTGCAAATGAATGCAGTGGTAAATCCTTGAGGAAAAGTCTTAATATGAGGTGATTCTGAAGAAACTATTTTGAAGTTCCTTTCTGATTCCATCATCCTCCCTAGGTAATCTTTTGAAGTCAACTGTTGCTCAGCACTTTTATTGCGTAGTTTTTTTTCTCTTGGCTTTATTTAACGAAGTACAAGTTTTTGTGATAAAATTTTTGAGAGAAAGCACAGGCCTTCTTGTTGTCAGAGATGAACTTGGTATTTCACAAATCATGTTCTATTGGATTTATTTCGTAGTTGAGCAATGCAGCTTGTGTGACTGTAGCTTTGTCCCAAACTTATTGGCCAGATTGATATATTAGTAGGTGGGTGTCTTAGTCTATACAATAGAAAGGTTCACAAGGTAATGTTCAATTTAAGCTTAAAGACTCTGACTCGGGATTATTAGATTCTGAAAGCCATAAGTTAAATTAGTAACACAAATACCATCTTGATATGGATGCTTTCTTTTAATTGTTGTATATGAATATCCTTACCATCTTAAGACTTTTTATAAGAAATGCTATGCTTTGGTGATTTGGTATGAGAATTCCTCTAATCCGCATTGAAATACCTGACTTTGGAGGAACCACATGTGAGTTGCACAAAAAGCCATAATGATGGATTTCGGCACAAGCAATGCATTAGGCTCCATGAAGTTTTTCTCTTGGTGTTGTTTACATGGACAACCTCACTGTCTTGGAACTTTGATCTTGTGGCTAACCAAACACTAATGCGACTATGAGTGATTCACCAATGGGCCCTTGGTCTAATGGTATTCTTTATCTTGTGAAGCCTTTGCCTTCTTGAAGTTAAGGGTTGAAGTATTTCTCCTAAAAAAAAATAAATAAATAAAGCACTGGTAGTGCTAATATTTTTGCTTGAAATATGATACTTGGGTGGTGAATTCATAGCAAGCATTGTGATGTAACCTGAAATTGGCAAACTTGCGAAGTATTGAAAATTCATAAATAAGTAAAATTGAGTCACAAACTACTGCTTTTACTCATTCATATGTATATATATAAATTTGGGATACATTTGGCAAAAACATTGAGGGGCAGAGAAATAAGCAATAAAGGGGGAAACATATAGACCCTAGTAGAGAACAAATAATTAGAGGTTTGAAGAATAAGAATGAGTTGAAGAAGAATAGAGATGAAGGGAAGAAGGGGAGAGAAAAGGAGAAGACGAGAAAGAGAGAAGCTCTGTCGAAAAATCTAGAAGATTCTCGTTGCATCAAACCCCCTTTATTGGAGAAAACTCTTCCTTGATTTTTTCAAGAGAGATGAGNGAAGACGAGAAAGAGAGAAGCTCTGTCGAAAAATCTAGAAGATTCTCGTCGCATCAAACCCCCTTTATTGGAGAAAACTCTTCCTTGATTTTTTCAAGAGAGATGAGCATCGAATCATCTTGTTGTCTTCAAGGATTTCCTGGTTTGAATACTAAATGGATGTAACTTGAAATTCCCAAAATTTTCAAGTAGCAAAATTCATAAATAAGTGGAAACAAATAGCATGTTGCAACTTTTACTCATTCATAAATACTTCTTGCACAACATTTGGCATGAAATTGAGGGACATAAAGAGAAGGAAGAAATGAGGAAAATTAGAGGTTAGAAGGATAAGAGCAAGTTGGAGAAGAATAAAGAAGATAGGAAGAGCAGAGAAAAGAAAGAGTAGAACATAGAAATAGAGAGCCATGCTCGGTATAAAAAGCTAGAAAATTAACATCGCTTCAACCCCCTCTTGTTGGAGGAAACTCATCCTTTGTTTGTTCAAGAGAGAGATACACATCGAATTATCTTCTTCTCTTTGAGGATTTTCCGCTTTGATACCAAATTGATATAAGTTGAAATACCCATAATTACCAAGTACTGAAAATTAATATATAAGTAAAATCGAATAANACATCGAATTATCTTCTTCTCTTTGAGGATTTTCCGCTTTGATACCAAATTGATATAACTTGAAATACCCATAATTACCAAGTACTGAAAATTAATATATAAGTAAAATCGAATAACAGATTGCAACTTTTACTCATCCATATAGAATGATTTAAGATACATTTGACAAGAATTGAACGCAGGGACAGAAGCATGAAATGTGGCAAGTTGTCGAGGATTCTTTGAGAAAATAAAGAATTAGAGATGAGAAGAATTAGAACAAGATAAATAACAATAAATATGATTTGAAGAAAATAAGATAAAGGAATGAGAAGGGAGGAGAGAATCGAGCTCTTTCCAAAAACCCAAAAATTCATGTCACATACCATTGCAAGGGTGTTACCTTCATATGAGAATTTCATGGGCTTGATGAGATATGTGATCCGTGACTCCGCATGCAGTTGTCGTTCTTCCATTATATTGACTTGTTGGTTGATGTTGTTTTCTAGAAGGATTTAATTGAAAATAGTTAAAATAGAAACGATATTAAAGTTTGTTAGAAAGAAGAAGAAGAGTAAGATGAAAGGATAAGAAAAAGAGAATAATCTATTGTGTAGGTTATGTTGCCCTACACTCTTATTTATAATAAAATGATGTTATGAGTAGTTACATTATTATCTTACCTTACTAATAATACAAAATAAGAACTAACACTGTCCCTCAAGTTGAAGTATAAATATCAAATATTTCTAGCTTGAAATAAAGATTAGTGAAGACAAACTAAGGCAATAATTTGGTAAAAATGTCACCCAGTTAATCACATGAACTAGACTTGGTGTATCGTGTGATAATCTCTTTTTGCATTAAGAGATCTTGAATAAAATGACAATTTACTTCGATATGCTTAGTCTTCTCATGAAACACCGGATTATTGGCAATGAAAATAGCCACGTAATTCTCACAATGCATCTTCATAGGAGAGGGCACATTAATACCCCTATTGTCAAACAATCATCACACTGGTGATCCACACACAACATCTACAGCCAGCAACATCCAATACTGAGAAAGAGTAGAANGCGTAATTCTCACAATGCATCTTCATAGGAGAGGGCACATTAATACCCCTATTGTCAAACAATCATCACACCGGTGATCCACACACAACATCTACAGCCAGCAACATCCAATACTGAGAAAGAGTAGAAGAACTGATAAAGGCCCTGTCATGAGAAAAAAAGGACAACAAGGTCCACAAGCAATGGACAACACCTTCGCCTGATTCCGGCGACTGTGACGACAATGACAACCCAAATTTGATTTCGCAAACCAAAATAAAACAACAATAAAAAATCTACAACATAATAACCAGCTGTCTATGTTGTGCACTCCACCGTCATCAACCACCATTACGAAGCTCTGATATCACTCATTCAGAGCTTCATGTTCACATCAACACAACCACAACACTGTTTGGGAGCCTCTGTTCTTGGTTTTTGTAAAGAGAAAGACACCAAAAACAAGGGGGGGAAAAAAAAGAGAAATAGGGATAGATGTAAACTCTAATTAATTTGCTCGGATACCAATTTAAAATAGGTGTGGTATTAGGCTTTGTTAGAAAGAAGAAGAGCAAGAGGAAAGGAGAAGAAGAGAAAGAGAATAATATGTTGTGTAGGTTATGTTGTCTACACTCTCTTATTTATAATAAATTGATATTATGAGTAATTACATTATTACCCTACACTATTAATAATATAAAGTAAGAACTCTAATAAAAATGATGTTACCTTTTCTCTTGTATGATTTGGGTAGTTTTGTGAAATTCTTTCTGATCTGAAGAAACATGTATTGATTGTCTGCTTTAGCAGAACATGAGATTTTCAATTTCCTTTCTGTGGTTATACTTGCTACTTAAAAGAATTAAACCACTGTTTCTACATTATTCTATTATTCTGTACTTATTCACAGAATTAACATGAGACCTTGAATGTTAACCTCTGATTATTTTGATACTCCTTTTGTAGGTATTGATATAATTGGTGGGTGAACAAGTGTTTAATATGGCACAGTTGCTTCCTGCCTCTTGTTCTTTGAATATCTCCTCCAGCAGCAAACCTTATGCAATGTCGTTGAACCGAAGCTCAACTGTCTTTCGTGGATCTTTTAGATCAGGAACTTCCAGCTTTCCATTGAAAAAATTTGTTTCGGGAGGAAAGAGGTCATATAGATTTGGTACCATTTATGCGACGGCTGTTTCTATGAGCCAAGAAGCCAAGTCGCAGCCTGGATCTGGCCCTCGCAAAATCTCTAGTGAAGCATCCAAAGCAAAACGAGTCATGATTATCGGTGGTGATGGCTACTGTGGTTGGGCTACCGCCCTCCACCTATCCAACAAGAATTATGAAGTTGCCATTGTTGATAGCCTTGTTCGTCGTCTTTTTGACCACCAACTCGGACTTGACTCGCTCACACCCATCTCATCCATCCATAATCGCATACGGTGTTGGAAATCTATCACGGGGAAAACCCTCCAGCTGTACATCGGTGATATATGTGACTTTGAGTTCTTAGCAGAGACTTTCAAATCGTTCGAACCTGATGCTGTCGTTCATTTTGGAGAGCAGAGGTCTGCCCCTTACTCCATGATTGACAGGTCAAGAGCTGTGTTCACCCAACACAACAACGTGATTGGAACACTTAATGTTCTCTTTGCCATAAAGGAGTTCAGGGATGAGTGTCATCTAGTGAAACTTGGGACCATGGGAGAATATGGGACCCCAAACATAGACATCGAGGAGGGTTACATAACAATTACTCATAATGGAAGAACAGATACCTTGCCGTATCCCAAGCAAGCAAGTTCCTTTTACCATTTGAGTAAGGTTCATGATTCAAATAATATTGCGTTTACTTGCAAGGCTTGGGGGATCAGAGCCACTGATCTGAACCAGGGAGTGGTCTATGGGTTGAGGACGGATGAGACAGCTATGCATGAAGAGCTTTGTAACAGGTTTGATTATGATGGAGTATTTGGAACTGCCTTGAATCGATTTTGTGTTCAAGCTTCAGTTGGCCATCCACTTACCGTCTATGGTAAAGGGGGGCAGGTAAGATTCCTTTACTGAAATACTTGACTAACGTGTTTCACCAATGAAGTCATTTGTTACTTAGAGGCATTTCCTAAAGTAGAATGATTTTATGTGAGAAAATTATTTTGTATGCCTCTCCAGGTGTCAATTGAGGGTGTAAATAAAGCAACTTGCATGCAATTTCAACAAAAATGCTTTTCCTTTACTAAAATATCCCTTCAAGTTTTTCTCTAGGAAATGTATACTGATTTGCTATTTAAGAATTAGAATGACAAAGGCAGATGATTGATCCAAAGTTGTGATAAGATGCACCACTGTGATTAGAACACCCTCTTCATCGTGTTACTTGAAATGTATCCTGAATTGTTTTTCTGGGGGAAGAGGAAAGCAGCACATCCTCCTTTATTCTATGATGTGGTATGATATACTGAAAGGATCCAGAATCCCTGCTTATTGGTGAAAATTTTGGCTGATTTACCAAAATTGGCGTCTCTGATGTGGAAAACTGGGCCTTCATTTCTGTTGACATATGGCCATGACATGTAGTTCAGTCTTGGAAAATGACCATAATACTGGGGAGGTCCAGGTTAATGGTGTCATAAACCTAGATTCAGGTTATCGTTATCCTACATGACCTCAAACTTGCTTATTTTGTGTCCCTTGCCATCATTTGACTGACCACACCTCTGAATTTTAATAGAATGCTTAGTGGATAAAAATTTTATCACCTTTTGGGACATTTATGTTGGCAATACTCCAAATAAAAACTTCCTAGATTTATTTCGCAATAGAGCATGTGCCCCATGTTCAGATACCCTAGTAGGGCACCTGTTACCTTCCTCTCACCTAGACATCTCTTGTACATATATTGACTTGGTTCTGTCGAAATTTAACCAGGCCACAAATCCATTATCCCCCTGGGGTAAATTTTTCAATGTAAGTAATGTGGTAATCGAGTTTGAGAATAGACATGCCCCTATTAATGAATGTGCTTGTTTGATCTTATTTTTGCTGTCCACTCTAGTCCTTGCCTTTTTTTTCCCTTCTATTGGTCTTATTCCATTGCAATCTGTTTGGAAAATACAGACAAGGGGATACCTGGACATAAGAGACACGGTTCAGTGCGTTGAGCTTGCCATTGCAAACCCGGCACAGCCTGGAGAGTTTCGGGTTTTCAATCAATTCACTGAGCAGTTTTCTGTCAATGAACTTGCCACCCTTGTTACCAAGGCAAGTGAGAAGCTTGGGCTTGAGGTGAAAACCATATCTGTGCCCAACCCAAGAGTAGAGGCAGAGGAACATTATTACAATGCGAAGCACACGAAACTCATTGAGCTTGGACTCGAGCCTCACCTTCTTTCGGACTCTCTTCTGGATTCATTGCTCAACTTTGCCATCCAGTTCAAGGATCGTGTTGACACAAAGCAGATACTGCCCAATGTCTCTTGGAGAAAAATTGGAGTCAAGCCAAAGACTGTTGTGGCCTAACCCATCTCATGTCTTATTTCTGTTTTTTTTTATACAAGCTGTTGTATCTTTTTGAGCTTTATAACTACTTGTTCTTGAAGTTTCAGTTGTATCAAGCAAAATGGTAGGCTGTATTGGAAGTCCCCGAGGATTTGTGTTTGTAGGAAAAATGTAAACTCTAGCCTGAACTAGCTCTTTGGTTACATATATATTATGTTTAATACGCGACCGTCTCTAACAAATGTAAGTTTGATGATATCCATATGCATGAACTGTTTATAAATATTAGAATGCATAAATTATTCTATTTAGGTACTGTTTAGATGGCACTTTGCAGTTGCTTAATTTTCTTCCCATAGGCAATTAAGTCGTTTTTCCCTTGAATCACGGAATAAGTACTTGTGAATAGCTATCCAGATGGTGGCATATTTGATATCCTCGGATGCATGATCCCTGTTTGTTCATTTGCAAAGTGAAAATTCAAGACGCACAGAAATTATTACTACTTCTGTGCCATGCACCAGGAGATTGTTGCAGATTTAATTCGTAAAACTGATTAGCTTTGTTTTTCTATTGCTTCTGGTTGTGAAAACGGGAAAAAGGCATGGCTTCTGTTGGGATTAACTGATAACAAGTTATGAAACAATTGAACACGTATTACTCCAAGCCCATTAATCACGTTAATCCACTGTCAGTTACATAAATCACTGTTTTGCCCCACATAATCTGCAATCAGTCGATGTAGTTATTTGTTAGAGTGGGTTTTTCCTGTTAGCCCTTGATAGCATTCCTCCACAATATCTGGTCAAAGCAGTTCTGGTAACGCAAAAACTTTTTAGTCTGTACGCCATTAGCAAACTCTACCTGCCCCCAGGTCTTGAGCGACGTTGATTGTCAAGGCACTAACTTGAAAAAGTTATTAATTGTGAAGACACCAACTTCAAAAAGTTATTATAAATTGATAATGCACAAAATAGGTTATGCACAACCACTGAAGGCGACAACGGGGATCGGAGAACTTTATTAATAGGAGAATAAAGAAGTAGGTGAGAGAGAAAGACAGAGTAAGTTCAAGGTCTGGTGTGTGTGAGACACAACTATGTGTCTCTCGTGTGTAAAATGCTTACAATTTATAAGCACTGAGCCCTAGTTGAGGCGGTGACGTGAAAGTCAGGCTACTGGTCTTTTGGGGAGGATAGCTACAATTAAAGATAGGTACAATTGAGGATTGGAATGATCTTCGAGCAATGGCTATCCCGATGATTACTCCCCACGTGCGTTGATCTTTATGGGCCTCTTGAATCTTGGACTGCNGAGCCCTAGTTGAGGCGGTGACGTGAAAGTCAGGCTACTGGTCTTTTGGGGAGGATAGCTACAATTAAGGATAGGTACAATTGAGGATTGGAATGATCTTCGAGCAATGACTATTCCGATGATTACTCCCCACGTGCGTTGATCTTTATGGGCCTCTTGAATCTTGGACTGCACTGAGGTTATGAGTTCAGTTAGACCTGTCATTTTAACTATTTGGGCTTAACCCCCCGAATCAAGTCTAGACCCAACTAGATTTGAGCTCATCATTTGCTCCTCATGCCCCAATCCCTTGTGGTGACAAGAGATTGAGGGCATGAGTGTATTCCTTGTTGAGGTGGACCAGGTACCTTGCTTCACACGACATTCTTCACATTTCCCAGAGCTTACTTCCTTACTCACCATTGGTAGACGACCTTCCCATTTGCTGAGTTTCCTACTAGGCTCGAGGAAACCCCATCCCTTGGCAATAAAAACCCTTTTTTCCCCTTTACGGAATAACTGCTAGGGCTTTAGAGGTCAATATTTATATCTTGAGCCACTTCATCCCCTTTTTCACTCAAAAGCCCTTCTCTTGAAAGTTAGGAGTTTCCATCAAAGGTTGGAAGAGGTCGGAGCTCTATGGACGATATTTTGGGGGAAACCACAACAAGGGAGAAGAGAGGCAAGTTCCAAGGCGGTGCAGCAGGCGACGAAGATAGCAAGGTAGGAGGTAATGGCGCTGAGGGAGCAGGAGGCAGTGCCAGTGCGGAAGGAGGCGATGCCAGCGAGGCGCTGGGTGACGGCGGGAGTAGGCTAGTCGGCGTCAACAGGCTAGCGACAGTGAGCGCAGGCCAGGTGGCGGCAGTGATGCATTGGGCGATGGAGGGCACAACTTAGGTGGCGGTGCGCTAGGTGACGACGAGCACAAGCTAGGTGGCGCCGGGGATGCAGGCATCAGTGCGAGATCTAGTGAAGGTGAGGCAACTCTGTTTGCCCTTTGAAGTTTCTGTAGCTCTAGCATTTACCTAATATTGGGATTTCCTTGACACTGGCTCTAATTTTGACAAGTGCCCTTTTTAACAAAGACATGGTGAGACAGGCTTCTCAGCGGGGCAAGGGAGCCGCTGGTAGTGATCGCTCGAAGGTACTCTTTATTTTTAGTTTGATAGATTACGACAATGACATTGTTAGGATGGTGTCCTCCTTCCATATTACTTCTGTTGTTCTATGCCGCCAAGCAGAGGAGGACGAGCCCGCTTGCAATAATTCTTCATGAGAGATCGTTTTCTATGACGATGTCTTGGAGGCGGAATTGAGGTTTCCCATACCTGGGCCCATCTGTCAAATTCTGGGTCACTTGTGCATATCTCGGGGAGGTTGACTCCGAATGGCTAGAGGGTAATTTTGGCGTCCTTCTTACTATGGCGGTTGGTTCATGGCGAGGTCGTTCCTCCCTCTTTTTAGGAGTTCTTGACTTCGTATGTGATTTTGGATAATCTCACTCCTCATCAGGGATGGTACCACTTTGCTTCGAGGTTGAGCAAGTTGATCACTGGACTGCCCTCGAACTATCATAGTTGGAAGTCCAGGTTTTTCTCTGTAGGAGGTGAGTGGGCTGCCAAGGAGGACCGTGACTTAGTGCCCTCGAGGTGGGATACCCTTTCAAAGACCAAGCTAGGTATGAGTTTTCCCCTGACTTTCATACCTAAATGTCATATCCCTTCCATACTTACTGCATGTTTGGTTCATTTGCAGCTTCGATATTATCTGTGGAGCAAGAGAGTAGGCTCCAAGCTGTGAGGGATCATCCTACCAAGTAATTTTGAAGCCCTTATGACTACGTCAGGTCACTCTAGGGCTTTCTCTAGGCAGAAGAGGAAAAGTATTTGATCTCTTCTATAAATTCGATGATGCTTGTAAAGTCTCCTTCTCATGAAGTTCTGCAGGTAGTACTGTTGATAGAACAATGGTGGAGGTTCTTTATGCTTCTTGGGTGGCGTTTTCCCCTCCTTCCAAGAGGGCGAAGGCTGATGCCTCCTGTTCTTCACGGTCGAAGTCCAATGACCAGGTTGCTTCCCAGGAGATAGGATCAGGTGGTGCCCCCACTCCTTTTTAGCATGCGACCCCTTCGAGTGCTAAGGCTATCCCTAGTTCTACTTTAGGAGTTGAGACTCTTGTGTGGTTCTCTACGGCGACTGGAGCTCCATGTAGTTATCCTGCTTCTAGTAGTGACTCGGTGTCCATGTTATAGGACATGAATCTGGCCAAGGAGCAACTTTAGAACTTTGTGTTAGCCGTAGATATTAGAATGGTCAGCTCTCAAGGTCTAGAGGGCATTATAGATACTGCGATTGAGGGATTTGCTATGGTATATTTTCTTTCAATTCAACCTTGATTTCTACACTTGCTTCCTTTTTATATTCTGTCTTTTGGATGCCTATAGATAGTTGTTGCCTTTTTCTATATTTTTTCAAGGACAATCAAGTTTGGTGAGACATCAAGAGCTCTGGCAGAAGAGAGACAGGCACAAGAGATTGTTGAGGCTAGCTTATGAGAGAGTTACGCCTCTTAAGGCCAGCTTTCGACGTCCCACAAGAGTGCCATGAAGCTGGAGGCTGATAGGGAGACTTTCTGCGCAATAGTAGAGTCAGAGCTGCGAGTGTCCTGCGAGAGGGCCACAGGAGCTGAGGCTGAGCTACGGACAACTTGAAAGAAGGCTGACATGGAAGAGACTAACCAACGAGTAGCTCTTGAGAGAGCTACTAGAGCATAGGTTCATTCCATTGAGATAGAGAGGAGGAGGGAGGCTGCTGAGACAGCCGTTGCAGGTGCCTTCATTGACAACAATAAGGAGTTTAGTGGAAAGGCCTCAACAACTTTCCATGCTATCAATTTTTCCAGGTTCGTCCCCTATGAGGCACCAGAGACTGATGATGACGGGGAGAGTTTTGATGAGAATGGATCGGGGAGCAACAAGTAACGTCGGAAGTATGATGACTTTTATCTTTTTGTCTACCTTTTTATTGTTAGGTCATGTTCTGTCTTTTGTAAGTTGTTTACAAACTTTTATGGAAAGAAGGATAGTTCTAGATAAAATAACTCTTGCAAAATTTTATTTCATAATTTAAAGTAACAGATAACAAAAGATATTGACTAAAGCGACAAAGGACAAATAAAATGATAGTTACTAGCTTGTACCCCGCTATTGATAATATCTCTTCAGGTGTTCGGCGTTCCATGGAAGGGCTAAGACTTTTCCTTCAGAGTTCTAAATTTTGTAAGTGTCTGACCTTACAGCTTCTGTCACCATGTAAGATCCTTCCCAATTAAGGCCTAACTTCCCTTCTTGAGAGTCCTTGGTAAATAGGATGACTTTTTTGAGGACTAGGTCCTTAGGCAAGAAGGAGTGAAGCTTCACTCTCAAATTGTAGTACTTGATCATGTGACGCTTGTACTTTGCATTTCTGAACATATTCATATCCCTCTCTTCCTCTACCAAGTTAAGGTTAATGCAGAGGCCTTCTTCATTAGTGGTAAGGTCATGGTATTGGACCCTAAGGAATGTACCCCCAATCTTGATTGGTATGACCGTCTCTATCCCTTAGGCTAAGAAGAATGGGGTCTCACCCGTAATGCTTCTTGGGGTTGTTCGGTAAACCCATAGTACTCTTGAGAGCTTGTCCACCCACCGCCCTTTGGCGCTTTCCAATCTGGTCTTCAGGTTATAGAGGATTGTTCTGATGGTGACCTCTGCCTGCCCGTTCACCTGGGGATGCTCTAGGCTAGAGTGGGATTGCTTGATTTGTAGATCTGCACAGAAGCCATTAAGGAGTTTGTTGTCAAACTATTTAGCATTGTCACTTACTATTGCAAGAGGTATACCAAAACGAAATACTATGTTTTTCTAGATGAAGTCCTTCACTTTCTAGTTTGTTATTCTGGCTAAGGATTCAGCTTTTGTCCACTTTGTGAAGTAGTCAATGGCTACTATCACAAAATTGCACTAGCCCCAACTCATGATTAGGGGGCCTAAGATGTCAATTCCCCACGTAGAGAAGGGCCAAGGGCTCTTGATGGTGGTGACCTGGTGGTTGCCTTGGCACTATCGTGAAATGTTGGCACTTGTCGCACTTTTTTTACGAATTCATGGGCGTCTTTAATCATGCTAGGCTAGTAGTAGCCTTGTCTCACTACCTTGTGAGCCAATGCATGCCCTCCTGAGTGGTTTCCACATATTGCCTCATGAATTTCTCTCATAGCATAATCAGACTCCTCGAGAATGNCCCCAATCCCTTGTGGTGACAAGAGATTGAGGGCATGAGTGTATTCCTTGTTGAGGTGGACCAGGTACCTTGCTTCACACGACATTCTTCACATTTCCCAGAGCTTACTTCCTTACTCACCATTGGTAGACGACCTTCCCATTTGCTGAGTTTCCTACTAGGCTCGAGGAAACCCCATCCCTTGGCAATAAAAACCCTTTTTTCCCCTTTACGGAATAACTGCTAGGGCTTTAGAGGTCAATATTTATATCTTGAGCCACTTCATCCCCTTTTTCACTCAAAAGCCCTTCTCTTGAAAGTTAGGAGTTTCCATCAAAGGTTGGAAGAGGTCGGAGCTCTATGGACGATATTTTGGGGGAAACCACAACAAGGGAGAAGAGAGGCAAGTTCCAAGGCGGTGCAGCAGGCGACGAAGATAGCAAGGTAGGAGGTAATGGCGCTGAGGGAGCAGGAGGCAGTGCCAGTGCGGAAGGAGGCGATGCCAGCGAGGCGCTGGGTGACGGCGGGAGTAGGCTAGTCGGCGTCAACAGGCTAGCGACAGTGAGCGCAGGCCAGGTGGCGGCAGTGATGCATTGGGCGATGGAGGGCACAACTTAGGTGGCGGTGCGCTAGGTGACGACGAGCACAAGCTAGGTGGCGCCGGGGATGCAGGCATCAGTGCGAGATCTAGTGAAGGTGAGGCAACTCTGTTTGCCCTTTGAAGTTTCTGTAGCTCTAGCATTTACCTAATATTGGGATTTCCTTGACACTGGCTCTAATTTTGACAAGTGCCCTTTTTAACAAAGACATGGTGAGACAGGCTTCTCAGCGGGGCAAGGGAGCCGCTGGTAGTGATCGCTCGAAGGTACTCTTTATTTTTAGTTTGATAGATTACGACAATGACATTGTTAGGATGGTGTCCTCCTTCCATATTACTTCTGTTGTTCTATGCCGCCAAGCAGAGGAGGACGAGCCCGCTTGCAATAATTCTTCATGAGAGATCGTTTTCTATGACGATGTCTTGGAGGCGGAATTGAGGTTTCCCATACCTGGGCCCATCTGTCAAATTCTGGGTCACTTGTGCATATCTCGGGGAGGTTGACTCCGAATGGCTAGAGGGTAATTTTGGCGTCCTTCTTACTATGGCNTTCAACCTTGATTTCTACACTTGCTTCCTTTTTATATTCTGTCTTTTGGATGCCTATAGATAGTTGTTGCCTTTTTCTATATTTTTTCAAGGACAATCAAGTTTGGTGAGACATCAAGAGCTCTGGCAGAAGAGAGACAGGCACAAGAGATTGTTGAGGCTAGCTTATGAGAGAGTTACGCCTCTTAAGGCCAGCTTTCGACGTCCCACAAGAGTGCCATGAAGCTGGAGGCTGATAGGGAGACTTTCTGCGCAATAGTAGAGTCAGNAGCTAGCGACAGTGAGCGCAGGCTAGGTGGCGGCAGTGATGCATTGGGCGATGGAGGGCACAACTCAGGTGGCGGTGCGCTAGGTGACGACGAGCACAAGCTAGGTGGCGCCGGGGATGCAGGCATCAGTGCGAGATCTAGTGAAGGTGAGGCAACTCTGTTTGCCCTTTGAAGTTTCTGTAGCTCTAGCATTTACCTAATATTGGGATTTCCTTGACACTGGCTCTAATTTTGACAAGTGCCCTTTTTAACAAAGACATGGTGAGACAGGCTTCTCAGCGGGGCAAGGGAGCCGCTGGTAGTGATCGCTCGAAGGTACTCTTTATTTTTAGTTTGATAGATTACGACAATGACATTGTTAGGATGGTGTCCTCCTTCCATATTACTTCTGTTGTTCTATGCCGCCAAGCAGAGGAGGACGAGCCCGCTTGCAATAATTCTTCATGAGAGATCGTTTTCTATGACGATGTCTTGGAGGCGGAATTGAGGTTTCCCATACCTGGGCCCATCTGTCAAATTCTGGGTCACTTGTGCATATCTCGGGGAGGTTGACTCCGAATGGCTAGAGGGTAATTTTGGCGTCCTTCTTACTATGGCGGTTGGTTCATGGCGAGGTCGTTCCTCCCTCTTTTTAGGAGTTCTTGACTTCGTATGTGATTTTGGATAATCTCACTCCTCATCAGGGATGGTACCACTTTGCTTCGAGGTTGAGCAAGTTGATCACTGGACTGCCCTCGAACTATCATAGTTGGAAGTCCAGGTTTTTCTCTGTAGGAGGTGAGTGGGCTGCCAAGGAGGACCGTGACTTAGTGCCCTCGAGGTGGGATACCCTTTCAAAGACCAAGCTAGGTATGAGTTTTCCCCTGACTTTCATACCTAAATGTCATATCCCTTCCATACTTACTGCATGTTTGGTTCATTTGCAGCTTCGATATTATCTGTGGAGCAAGAGAGTAGGCTCCAAGCTGTGAGGGATCATCCTACCAAGTAATTTTGAAGCCCTTATGACTACGTCAGGTCACTCTAGGGCTTTCTCTAGGCAGAAGAGGAAAAGTATTTGATCTCTTCTATAAATTCGATGATGCTTGTAAAGTCTCCTTCTCATGAAGTTCTGCAGGTAGTACTGTTGATAGAACAATGGTGGAGGTTCTTTATGCTTCTTGGGTGGCGTTTTCCCCTCCTTCCAAGAGGGCGAAGGCTGATGCCTCCTGTTCTTCACGGTCGAAGTCCAATGACCAGGTTGCTTCCCGGGAGATAGGATCAGGTGGTGCCCTCACTCCTTTTTAGCATGTGACCCCTTCAAGTGCTAAGGCTATCCCTAGTTCTACTTTAGAAGTTGAGACTCTTGTGTGGTTCTCTATGGCGACTGGAGCTCCATGTAGTTATCCTGCTTCTAGTAGTGACTCGGTGTCCATGTTGTAGGACATGAATCTGGCCAAGGAGCAACTTTAGAACTTTGTGATAGCCGTAGATATTAGAATGGTCAGCTCTCAAGGTCTAGAGGGCATTATAGATACTGCGATTGAGGGATTTGCTATGGTATATTTTCTTTCAAGTCAACCTTGATTTCTACACTTGCTTCCTTTTTATATTCTGTCTTTTGGATGCCTATAGATAGTTGTTGCCTTTTCCTATATTTTTTCAAGGACGATCAAGTTTGGTGAGACATCAAGAGCTCTGGCAGAAGAGAGACAGGCATAAGAGATTGTTGAGGCTAGCTTATGAGAGAGTTACGCCTCTTAAGGCCAGCTTTCGACGTCCCACGAGAGTGCCATGAAGCTGGAGGCTGATAGGGAGACTTTCTGCGCAATAGTAGAGTCAGAGCTGCGAGTGTCCTGCGAGAGGGCCACAGGAGCTGAGGCTGAGCTACGGACAACTTGAAAGAAGGCTGACATGGAAGAGACTAACCAACGAGTAGCTCTTGAGAGAGCTACTAGAGCATAGGTTCATTCCATTGAGATAGAGAGGAGGAGGGAGGCTGCTGAGACAGCCGTTGCAGGTGCCTTCATTGACAACAATAAGGAGTTTAGTGGAAAGGCCTCAGCAACTTTCCATGCTATCAATTTTTCCAGGTTCGTCCCCTATGAGGCACCAGAGACTGATGATGACGGGGAGAGTTTTGATGAGAATGGATCGGGGAGCAACAAGTANGGGGTAGTGAGTAACTTCTTTTGTAAAAGGTGTCACGCAAGATGACATACCTAGACGCTCTCAGTCTCAATTTCTTAACTTCCACTAGATTCTCTGAAGTTGCCTCCAAGGCACTAGACTCTCTGGGGGTGGCGCATGGGCTTGCCTCATAGGAAGTTTAGACGATGTGTACTAGGTAGGTGAGTGCAGGGTGCAGGACACTCTTTCTTGGGAATCTCCTTCTTCTAGTGGTGTAGATTCAGCCATAAAATTCGCAATTGCTCGTGTTTTTATGGCCGCCNAGGTGCATGACACTCTTTCTTGGGAATCTCCTTCTTCTAGTGGTGTAGATTCAGCCATAAAATTCGCAATTGCTCGCGTTTTTATGGCCGCCCTTACTGCACGTCAAACTCACTTAACTTGACGGTCCATTTAGGAGTCACCTAGACGCATCTGGCTTTCCCAGGATTCCTCTGAGTGGCTAATCTATGATAACCATGATGGTATGACTCTAAAAATAGTGGCGTAGGTGCCTAGCAGTGGTGACANGGGTGCAGGACACTCTTTCTTGGGAATCTCCTTCTTCTAGTGGTGTAGATTCAGCCATAAAATTCGCAATTGCTCGTGTTTTTATGGCCGCCCTTACTGCACATCAAACTCACTTAACTTGACGGTCCATTTAGGAGTCACCTAGACGCATCTGGCTTTCCCAGGATTCCTCTGAGTGGCTAATCTATGATAACCATGATGGTATGACTCTAAAAATAGTGGTGTAGGTGCCTAGCAGTGGTGACAAGTGCGAAGGCCAACTTCTCCAATTCAAAGTACCTCACATCTACTCCTCGATATGCCATGATTACATAATGAATAGGCTTTTGGACTCCTCTTTCCTCCCTGACTAGGACAGAGGACACGATAGAGGGAAAGGAGGAGAGGTAGAGATACAAGGTCTTTCCTAGTACGGCATGGGAGAGTAAAGGGGTGTAATAAGGTAGGCCTTTAACTTTTGGAAAGCTTCCTCTGCATCCGGCCCCTACTGAATAGACTTGCAAAGAATTTTAAAGAAGGGTAAGCATTTATCTGTTGATTTTGNCTTCCTCCCTGACTAGGACAGAGGACACGATAGAGGGAAAGGAGGAGAGGTAGAGATACAAGGTATTTCCTAGTACGGCATGGGAGAGTAAAGGGGTGTAATAAGGTAGGCCTTTAACTTTTGGAAAGCTTCTTCTGCATCCGGCCCCCACTGAATAGACTTGCAAAGAATTTTAAAGAAGGGTAAGCATTTATCTGTTGATTTTGAGACAAACCTACTGACGGTTGCTATCCTTTCGTTAAGTCGTTGGACTTCCTTCACAGAAGCTGGGGATTTCATTTCCAACATAGCTCTAATCTTATCTGGATTAGCCTCAATGTCCCTTTTGTTAACCATGAAGCCTAGCAACTTCCCTAAGCTAACGTTGAAGGTGCACTTCTCAGGATTTAACTTTATTTGGTAGTTTCTCAGGATGTCAAAAGTCTCCTGCAAGTGTGCTACATTGTTTGTTCTAGCCAAGCTCTTCACCAACATATCGTCCACATAGATCTCCATTATCTTCCCGATTTGTGCGTTGAACATCTTGTTCATGAGGCACTAGTATGTGGTTCCAACATTTTTGAGTCCGAAAGGTATGATCCTATAATAGTAGGTTCCCTTCAGGGTGATAAAAAACGTTTTTCCTTGATCAGGTGGAAACATACTAATCTGGTTGTACCCAAAATAAGCATCCACATAGCTGAGCAACTCATGTCCAGCAGTAGCATCAATAAGGATGTAGATGCCTAGCAGGGGGTAGCTGTCTTTGGGACAGGCCTTGTTGAGTTCGGTGAAGTCTACGCAAAGGCTCCATTTTTTGTTGGCTTTCGTCACCATTACTACATTTGATAGCCAAAATCGGATAGGCTACCTCCCTTACTAACCCATTTGCAAGCAGTTTTCCCACCTCTTTCTGCATGGCCTGGGCTCTCTCGGTTCCTGTGCTTCTCAATTTTTGGCAGACAGCCTTGTACTTGGGATCCATATTGAGCCGATCGGTGGCCACCTCAAGATCGATGCCCTTCTAGATCTTCATGGGACTAGGCGAAAATGTCCATGTTCTACCTAAGGAAGTCAATGAGGTGGGTGGCTTGATGTTAACCCCGCTATGACTGGCAGAGTGATGGAACCCAAGGGATAGACCCTCTCACCCAAAAATCCAATGAGGGGTGTCCTATTGGGTTGCAATCTCTCCCTGCCCAGATGGAGGCTATCATAGGCTAGTGCAAACAGAATGTCAGTAGAGCTGTCGTTGTCCACTAGAATTCTCTTAACTTGGTATTTGAATTCCATCAAGGTTAACACTAAAGGTTCATAGTGGGAGTATTGGATCCCCTCGAGGTCCCTGTTTGAGAACAAGATGACTTCTCCTTCCCCGTGCTAATGCATCTTTGTTAGGCGAAGGTTATCTGACTCCACCTATCTGGCTCTTCTGGAATGCCCCTTCCTGGCAAAGTTAGAGTCACCTCCTCCTCCTAACCCTCTAGATATCATTTGGATTTCTTTGAGGGGTTGTTGGTGCTCTCTGTCATCCTGGTTCCGGCCTGGCGTCGAGGCCTGTCCTCTACCAGCAATGTACTGTCGCAACTGGCCACGCTATATGAGCTCCTTGATATGCCTTTTAAGTTCAAAGCAGTCATCAGTGTCGTGGCCATGATCACGATGGAAATGACAATCTTGTTAAGGTTCCTACGATTCGGGGTGGACTTCATCTTCCCTAGCAAACGTACCGTAGGATCATCGTGTATTTGGAGCAGGATATGTTCAACCGAAGTGTTGAGTGGCATAAAGGCTTGTTGCTCTCTCAAATGTGCGGGACCAAGGAGGTCCTTGACGAGGGACTCTCTCTGCCCTCTTTCTATTGTCCTATACTTCTCTTTTGTCTTCACGAATGTCCTTTCTTTTCTCACCCTCGTAGGAGGACTCATCTTGCCAAACTTTGGTGACATCCTCAACATTCATACACTTTTGTGCTCTAGACAACAACTCGGGCATGTTTGATGGTGGCTTTTTCAAGACGGAGAATATAAAACTCAACGAGTATAATCCTGTAATAAAGGCAACCATGCTAACCTTGTCATCTAGCTCCTCAATCTGGAGAGGCTTCTTGTTAAAACAAGTGAGGAAACTCCATAGACTTTCATCCCAGTCTTACTTGATGGTGAGCAAGTAAATGATTGACTTCTGATGTCAGTGTCCTCCTATGAAGTGGGAGATGCAGGATTTGCTTAATTTAGCAAAAAAGTTGATGAAAGATGGCTTGAGCTTGGAGAACTA